TGAGGAAGATGCATCTGCTGTGGGAGTGATTTGGCACTTGGGTAATAAATCATGATTTTTTCATTTTTATAACTTAATTTGTTCCTTCTTTCTGAGTACTCTTTGACATTTTAATATTGATTTCTTTAAATGCCACAGAATGGAAGGGAAAGCCTTTTCCTTTCAGCAAAGGATGCAGCTTTTATAGGTTGGATGTAATTAATGGCCAGAGGCAAATAGTGTGAGTTTTCTTCCTTCATTTTGATCTTGTAGATAGATGTTGGCATTGGTGATTATTCGCAAACTTGAAAATGTGAGATTTTAGCTTATTTCCCTAAGTGAGTTGTTATTTTAAAAGATCGGGACTGTTTGTTGTTCATTTGCTTAAATGAGCTAAGCTCGAACAGCTAAACGAGCTCATTTATTAAACGAGCCAGCTCGGCTCGAATGACACCCCTAATCACTAGTTTATTTGGTAAAACTAAGAGCCACTTATACTGCCATTTGTCATCTGTGTGAACCTTTGAGGGGCCTTTGTGCTCTCAGTCTTGCTCTAATCTTAAGAACATATTTGCTTTTTCATACATATTGTAAGAAGGAAGAACTAAGAAGTATGCAGTGAGTGCAGAGTAGTAGCTTGAAGAGCATGAACTACTTCTAGAAATGAACTTGACAAGCCATCGGCACTACTGTCTAAATCAAGTCTGACTTTAAGATTATTGTTTGTCTATTTAATTTTTATTACCGAACTTGATCGAGTTATTTTGCGTGCTATTGTTTTTTATATTGTTCTTCTGCTTGGGGTAACTCCTTTCGTTGTACGCTTGTACTGCCAACCTGATGTATGTTCAAATTTATTCATGTTGAATATTCTTTGTAACACAACTACTACAAAACATCACTCTGTAAGTTTTGCTTCTCATCCCGCGACCATATTGAATTTGATTTTGATCATCATGAAATTTGTGAATAACAGTTACGGGAGAGACTGTGTGGAGCCTGCGGTCAAGCCTGGAGATGCAGCTCTGGTATGAATTCAGTTATCTGTTAAAGAATCTTTAAAGTATCTATGTCCGATTAGTTTGTATAGTTGAGCCTTTGTATGAAATGTTTGGTCAGACTATCATTAGAGGAGTCACTTGGCTGCTCGAGAAATTCCCGTCCTTGGTTGATCGGTTATAGTTGAAGCATGGAGGCTTTGCCGCTATATGTTGTGGAGGTTGTATAATATTATTACATTATTAGTGTGTATTCAACTGTATAGAAGTTGAGGTGGAGCAAAAATTAATTTGTTAAATAGCAAATTGGCAGAGGAGTGTGTAATGAATTATTGTTTTTTCCCTTTATATTTCTTTAGGGGAACCCGACGATAGATTTTCATCCACTTAGCTTTTCATCCATATAAAGTAGTTTAATAATGAGTTAAAACATCTATATATATATATATATATATATATAATTGTAGGCTATTACATTAATGCAATAGCCTACTTTATTTTAGTTCATATTTAATAAAGTTGTAATGGTTGTCTTCAAAATTAGTATAATTGCACTATTTGTTAATTTGGTAAGTAATATTACATATTTTATGTAACCATTACAATAATATATCCTTTCTTTTGGTAATTAGTACATTAAAATTGATTTTTAAGGAATTATTAGAAGTAAAGTAATACATAGATTTGAATTTGCCTTAGAAATAAATTTATAAAAATAAATCATAATCATATCTATTATTTTGTGCTTTCATTTGTAGGAATTCCATTATTAATTCATAAAAAATCCTACCTATTTTTTTCTACAGTCATTTTAATAATGTAAATTAATGTTAGTTTAATTAACATATGTTTTTTTCTTCAATTATTATTCAAAATTAAAATTTTAATTGTTGTAACATAGATAAATTTTATACATTAGTCTATTGAGATGCAATGGTTCTTTATTTTACCTTCATATTTGTGAAAAAAAAAACATTCTAATTATTGTGTAATAAGCGATTGTGATATTTTAGTAATCACCACATATTTTTATAATGAAATAATGCCATATAAGTATTTGCTTATAAGTGAAAAATTATTAGATGAAATAATCTACACGTACATGTATTTTATTGTATAAATATATTATGTATTTCATTTATACAATAATTCTCTAAAAATATCAATTTATATGGTATATAACATTTGTGTTGTCCATTTTAAATTTTTTTACTTTGTTTATAATTTTATGTTTTTTATTAATATAATACTCAAGGAGTATAAAAATTAGATGATTCATTATATTCATATAATAATAGTCATTAATGTATGGTAAATCTACATTTATATTGTTTTATTTTTTAGTTTTAAAAATTCAACTTAGAGTCATTGATGTAATGATTCAATTATAAATGTGATACATAATATTAATAAATTTTATTTTAATTAATATTTTTATGTATAATATTTATTTATCAATTTATTTTTGATAACCTGTGCAAATGCACAGGATTAATTCTAGTATTATTTATAACACATTTAATTCATTTATCTACACTACTACCATAAGGTATGATTTTCTTTTTCATAACTTTATTTCACTTCATATTTCCATTCAATTTCAAAGATTGATATGTCTGTTGCATACTTTCATTAAAAAATATCATCTATCATTATATAAAAAGAATACTCTTTTTACAAATTTAGAAACTTTTTCCCGTCAAAATCATTAAATATATCCTACATATAGTAATTATTGGACAAATCTGAATAGGCAAATAAATTGCCTCATTAATTGTGTAAAAATTTGTTTCTCTTTTTCCTTTTTTTAATTTATCAAAATCGTTGTTTGACAATAAATATTTATTTTTCTTTTTCCTATTTTTAGTATAAATCTACACGAGTTTATCTCTTCTGTTACAAAATCCCATTGCATACGTCTCACGTGTTTAAAAAATCTCATCCCTATCTATATAGATTTGAAAAAAATAAAATAAAATAGAAACCAATTCATAATTACTACTAGAAATCCGTTAAAAAGAAAAAATAAAATAAAATAGAAACCAATTCATAATTACTACTAGAATTCCATTATCTACGTTAATAAGCTAATTTTCGTCGGTCTAATTACTAATATTTTTATAAATATTATCATATCTACTTTAAGAAGCTAATTTTCATCGGTCTAATTACTAATATTTTTACAAATATTATAAGCTAATCATACAAAAAAGTATAATAATAATTTTGAAATGGTATGTAATCAATTTTTTTTATATTCTCTTATACATAATAATTTTACATTGTTTGACCCCGAATCTTTAATTAATAATTATTAAGTATTGTTTATCCCCCTCTTTAATTTATAATTATTATTTTTTCTTCCTCTTTTTAAATAGGATCAATAGTAATTTCCACTTCCGCCATTGAGTGACTCAAACTCGAGGTCTATTTATAATATTTTTAATTTAATATTGTTTCCGTGCATCGCACGGGGTACACACTAGTAATTTAAAAAACAACATGAACAAAATTATGTCAATTGATAATTAAAATATGTATTTTTGTCCACATAATATGACCAATCGATCCATCTTAAAATGTCTCATACAAAAATTTGATTGTGTGAATAAAAAAATTGATCTATAACTAATTAATTTATTAATTATGAAATTACTAGCCCCAATGTTTTTGAAATGTAACTCTATAACAAAAACTATACATAATTACTTTTTTTTAATCAATTTAAATTTTACTGTATTTTAATTTTTAAAAACTCGGGCGTCATTTCAGCTCAGATGCCATTGACCGTACACGCCTCTTTTTTTGGCTGGAGACGAAGAGAGAAAAAGTCGGACAGCTCAACGAACAGTTCAAAGCCACGAAAAAGCTCGCCACCTACGCTTTGGTGTCTCCGCCTAATTTTCGCCCTTTTCAATCCGCAACCACTTTCTTCACCTGAAGTTTTCGCTCAACGACCGGCTGGCGGTTTTCGTCGCCTGAATCATAATGTCGGCGGTTGCGAGCTTCTCCTGCCGGCATTATGAAGTTCGACCCGCGTTCAGATCGGAAAACCGGGTCGGTTGGTCGACGTTGATCGGTCAGAGACCGCCGAAATTCAACATTTCGAGGCCTTCTCGCGAGGTGAATTTTGCCTTTTCCTTTGAAGAAAGCATATAGCTAGTTAGAATTAAGTTTATATAACTAAATTTTCTCTCTTTTTTTTTTTCGTTATGTTTACAATTTTGGTTGTGGATTGAGAATCCTTGGAAATGGCTTCAATTTTGTGATGATGCTTGTTTCTGTGTGATTATGAGATGAGATTAAACATTCAAGGGCAAGAGCTCTGCAACCGGCATTTAAGAGTGTGCGTAAAGATTCAGACTTGACTATTATAATTCTTAATTTTTCTAAAATGCGGATTCATTCTAGTGAAAATGACGTTCCTTGACTGTTTTCATGTATTGATTCCACCGGAAGTCTTCATTACCATTCTGCAACTCGGGGTGTTCTCATTGGTTGCCTCTTGCCATTTTCATGTATTGTATTCTCTGTAACTCTTCGTTTATGTTTGAATGATGTGGCAAAACTTAAAATTTAAGCTCAGTCTGTTCTCTTTTGTTGCGTCTTGGCATTAAGAAGTGGATAAATAATAATTCCAGCAAAAATAGAAGTCCTTCTGTCTCGGATGTTTTTCTAATTTTATAACTTGCAGGTAGCTTTGAATCAATTGAAAAGGGCATCTACACGTCCTAGTATACGCATGGCAATGGTAGATGAGAGGCTGGCTGATAGGAGTGTTGTTGTCAAGCCGGCTGACATTTTGGTAAGCAATATCTGAAATCAAAGTGTTCTAAACTCAAGGCCTGGAAAGCTGTAAATGTCTTGTAGTTCCACATCATTCGTATTGATTTGATCATTTCTCTATGCAGGCATATGATCTTGTTCAAGGAGCAGATGTAAGTAATGTTCTGTGTGTGTTTTGTGTGTGTTTTGTCTTTTCAATAAGAATGAAAATTTGCCAAGTGTAATGCTATATATTTCTTTTACGCGAGATATTCAGATGTTTGACCTAGTTAGTTGAAATTTCAGTTTCTGAAAATTTGTGAATTATCATGAACTGATTTATACACCATATAAGGGGGTTATAATCGTCACTTACCAGAGAGGCTATCTGTATGGACATTTTCCTGCTGATTTGTTGTTTAATTGATCTTTTGCAAGTTCGGAAATAAGCTTGGTGCTTTCTGGATTAGAGTGCTCTTATTTTTATTTTTGGCGTTTTAACTTTTATACGACTGCTTGTGGACTTTTGTTCTTCAGGTGAGGTGGAGTTACATCTTGGACAAGACAGTGCCTCAGCCTCCAACTGCTGTTCTCTTGCACGGCATTTTAGGTAGCAGGAAAAATTGGGGTAGGTGCATTCTTATATTATGAGTATACTCTATCAGGACGAAAATCGGTGGCTATACAACAAGGTTTTACGTACTTGAAAACTGTGTGCATTCAATTATATTTCTTAAAATGCTAAAATGTATATGCCAAATAATTTGCAGGAACGTATGCTAGGAGATTGGCCCAAGAGTTTCCTAAATGGCAGGTACTGTAAACTTGGTTTAATTTTTAATTACTACCTGAGTTGAAATTAACATGAACTGTGTATCCCTTATCTTACTATGGAAGTCATTTCTTCTTTTAGGATTCTATCAAATATTGCTTTTCTTTCTCCGTTTCTTTTTTCCTTCTTAATATCATGGTTTCTTGTGCATCCAACATAACCTTTATTCAAATATATGATTCCTATTTCCAACCAACTCTTTAGGGTGGAAGTGAAGATAATGCACACATCTCCTCTTAATTAAACATGACTCTTCTCGCTGTATTATTAATTCAAATCTTAAATGTTTCTCTTTCTTCAATTGACCCAGTTTCTCCTTGTTGACTTGCGTTGCCATGGCGATTCAGCGTCTCTGAAAAAGAGAGGACCCCACACTGTTGCTTCGGCTGCCCTAGATGTTCTAAAGCTAGTAAGAAATCTTGAAATGATAACTATATCATCTTTGGAACGTTCCTTTTCTTGTCTTTTCTATTTTTTTAGATTATGTGATTTGGCTGGCTAATCCCTTCTTATATCACATGCCTTTTTCGTTGGAGTTGTATTCCATGCTCTGGAAATATCATCTCCTTCCGGCAAAATAAGTAGCAAAATGCAGAATGTTTCCTATATTGCTTTCATCATCCTATCTACTTACTCTAGAGGTTGCTGACGAAATTAGTTCTTTTAGTGTCATTACCAGTTACCATCCAACAATAAGTTTCTCTTCTTTGTCCAGCTTGGCCATCTGAAGCTAACCCCTCGAGTTCTTGTTGGTCACAGCTTTGGTGGTAAAGGTAAATTCTCATCCCTGTGTATATAATTAGCTAGCAACATACCATAGTCCAAATGTATCTTCTCTCTTGTTTTTTTCCTGCAGTTGCATTGAGCATGGTGGATCAGGTTGCAAAACCTCTTGCCCGGCCTGTTAGGGTAAGTATGGAGTCTATCTTTTTTTATTATTATTTTTTATTTTTTATTTTTTTTAAGTTATTGTGAGCAAAGTGGCACTTGTTGATGCAGGGTATGGATAACTGTTGACATTCGGCTGTTTTCTGTTCAAATTATATTCTTCTCTTTATTATGTTGTGTTTTTAGGTCTGGGTTTTGGATGCTACGCCTGGAAAAGTCCGAGCTGGCGGTGATGGAACTGACCGTCCTGCTGAACTCATCTCTTTTTTAAACACTTTCCCCAAAACGGTAAGTAGTCTTCGATGCTGAAACTATTGAAATCCTTTTTATTTTCTTCTTTGACCAATTTGTAGATTTCTCTCAAATTATTTTTCAATGAAGGTCTCCTCCAAGAGGGAAATCGTGGGAGCTCTTGTACAGGATGGCTTCTCAAAAGATGTGGCGCAGGTAAATTCAAGATAATTGTTGGTCAGTTTTTCCCAAAATTTTATAATGTTTCTAAGTGCCCATAATTTTTCAAGACAAAATTCTGACATCTCCATTTTCCTTGACCTTTTATTCATCAGTGGGTGGTAACTAATCTTAGGCAATCTGGGGTCACTGGAGCATCGTCTTCAAGCTTCTCTTGGGTGTTCGATCTCAATGGTATTTCAGAGATGTATCAATCATATGAAGACACAAATCTCTGGTAATTATGTTTATTAATTATGCACAAGAAAAGGAAAAAGAAGACAAGGACTCGACTATAAAAAACCGACAGATAATTGAAAAACAAAAGAAAAATATAAGAAAAGAAAAGCAGAGTATGACGGTAACTGCATTTAAGTTTATTAATCATGTGTGCTTAAGCAGGAAGCTCGTGGAAGAAGTTCCTCGAGGTGTACATATTAATTTTCTGAAAGCAGAAAGAAGTCTTCATAGATGGGCCATTGAAGACCTTCACAGGATCCATGTTGCTGAGGAACAAGCTGCTGAGGAAGGAGGTGGGGTCGAGATGCATGTCCTCGAGGATGCTGGACACTGGGTAAGCACCAAATTTCTCAATAAATTTTATATTTGAGAAAACCCTTTTGTACAACAACAACAACAACAACATACCCTTTTGTAGCATATATTAATTATAATTCTACTTCAGGTACAAGCTGACAACCCGGATGGGCTCTTTAGAATTCTTTCGCACTCATTTCAAGGATTTTAGACATCGGCAACTTTTGCAATGTGCACTGCAGTTGATTCGATCTCAGCAATGTGCATGTATGATTTTTTTGTGAGTATGCAAGTTTTAGTTTTAGTTGCGGGAGACGAGTTTTGAAGCAGTCAAGCTTGATAGTGTAGATGTTCAGAGTAAATGTGTACTTTTCATGAGAAGGGAAATCTGAAATCATTAACGTATAAATAGTTGAAAGTATCAAGAAAAAATGCTATTCTTCATCCTGTGATTTTAGGACATTATTTTATACAAGGATTATACTGAAATAGTTAAAGCTTCTTGGCAGCCCACTTGTAATCTGCATATTGATGTGTAGAGGAACTGGCTAGATTTTCTCCTTTCTGAGTCTATCAACTTTACTCTCGATTGATGATACTCCATTTTTTTTATCTTATTTCTTGTTTCTTGATTTATAAATGCTTGAATACTATCAAACATGCAGACAAAATCGATAAGGAAAATTAAAAAGTATCGGGCATTGGCATTGTTGGTGCCCACTGCCTCAATAACTTAGTTTTTCTTTTTAATGCCGCATCCTGTAAGGATGCATAGTATTCCTACTCTGTACTTCATATATCATATATGAAATTGTGCTCTCTCTCTCTCTCTCTCTCTCTCTCTCTCTCTCTCTCTTTCTTTTGTTTTTAGTTTTTGCATGTCCAAATCCCATTCTTCCAGAAGCCGAAAAAAAAAATGGTATCATTATTGTTACTAAGCCGATTACTGCAAGTTGATGTCGTGGCAGGTTGGAAGCTTGATCTTCCTACTAAGCAACTTTCACGGGTGTTGCATTTGTAATTTCAAAGCTCGTTTTCACAGCATGTGAACTCCCTCTTCTCGATGAACTAACACAAGCGAGATGTTGTTCATCTGGTGAGGTACAGAGAAATTTGCCCTCACTCGATGCTGACCATTTCATTTCCATGAACTCCCTCTTTCTCCATGGCCCGATATGAATCTTTCCCTCCCTAGCAGATTCCTTGGCCGCGTCACAAACCACACGAATAACGGCATTCAGATGTTCAGTTTTGCCTATGTAGACTTCAGGCAGTGGTTCGGTAAGTTTATTGTACTCATCACAGGCTTTGCCCATCTTGAACTCGTCCCGAAACCCTAATTCCACCACGAAAATCCCGTGCTTGGTTCTCGATTTTGTGCTGGCAATTACTTCAATGTATTCATGGGTCCCTGCACTACTGAAATTGTCAGTCATGCCATTTTTTTTAGGCTAAACATTTTCTGTTCAAATACACTGAAAATATTACCCCCTGGTATTTTATGTGTTCTTTTCCACTTGGATTTGCAGAGGGCTGCATTGAAACCTTTGCTACATAGCTGATTAAACACAGCTTGCCTTAGGCACTTCATACAGCCTCTCAGGTTTAATTTGTCCTGGCAATTGCAAAAGTTGGAGTCTTTAGCCATGTCTATGTTTCTTTTGATTTGTTCCCTCAACTTTTCACAACTTGAGTTGCACTGATCCAATATTTCCTGAAATTATTCAGAATTCCAATTTCTTTAGTTGTTCAAACACATATGAAACTGAAGATTGCATTGAAAAAAGCTGTAGCTGTTTGAAAAGAGAGAAAACAGCCCCTTCAATGGATTCTCCTTAATTTCCTGAATAAATAATGTCAAAAAACTTGACAAATTTATATTTCAAATGGAATTATTTCTAATTTGTGAATGACCAAACTTAACCCACTTGGTGTCCTAAAAATTAGGTAGGGCACATGAAACATGACATAAAGTTAGGGGTTAGTTACAGGCTTGTTAGAGCCTCATATTGTAAGTTTAGATATTAAATTAAAAAAAAAAAAAATTGTACCCACCAACTAAATTTGTGGCATCAAATTAATTTTATAAAGGCATTGTGTGTTGTGTGCTCAAATGAATCATTCCAAGTCCAGATATTTCTTGATGTCCCTTTATGAAAATGAGCATTCAGTTGGTTGAATTTGTTCATTTATGTGATAGTTGTTGGCTTCTCTTGAGATCATATTTTAGGTGGACAACTTGACAAGCAGAGTATATGTGGATACAAGAGACAAGAAATAAACTAAGACTTCTATTTTCTTTCTTATATAAAACCATAAAATATTTTAACAGTTGAAATGCGCACCCACACACCACACACACATTGGGATATATGTAATGGTTAATTTATAGATTATGTTTCCATTGAATTAGTTAACATGCTAGACAACATACATGAACATGAATTACTAAGATATTATGTTAAATCCTTATTTCATAACAATAGAAATCCCCATAGCAACAAACTAACTAAAACCTTCCTTTATTCCCAAAAAAAAAAAAATAACAAAA